CAGCGCCTTCCTGATGCCGGGCCGTGTACATGCCGTTCTCATCTCGAGCCTGTGCCTGTGCGGCTCTCCCCTCTCCTCCCCTGCGCCGCACACCACCAAGGCCTCGTTAACTCTTCCTTTCCTGTCTCAGCTCCACTATCCCTCCTCTGGGAGCCCTTCCCTGCACCCCCGCCCCTGCCCCGGTGGGGGGGGGCAGTCCTGGCACCCCTCCTTGCTCTCAGGGCTACATCACTTGCAGGCCCAAATGCAGAATGATAACATGGGGCAACTTGTTCAAAACTAGCATGAGTTCGGGGAGGGCGACAGCAGCGCATAAGCCCAACCGGGAGCCCGGGTGAGAGCCGGACCCAAGTGACCACGGCGGGTGCCTGTCTGTGAGGTCGCCCTGCCCTCAGGACCCCCACGCTCGTCCTTCATTCCTTCACTCCAGCTCTTTTCTTGGGCAATGGTCTAACTGAGGTTTGTCTATTCCCACAAGTCCAGGAAGCCCCCAGGCCAGGGCTGGGAGGCTTGAGAGGCAACTCTGTCTTCCCAGCATCCAGCAGAAACCCTGGCCCCGCAGTCAGGAAATGTTCTAGAATGAATGATTGGAAAGCAGTGGAGAAGAGACAGATGCGGGGAAAGGAGGGATGGACGGACCGACCGGGCGAGGCAGAAAGGGATGAGACAGAGAGGAGGGGAGGGAAGGGACCCGGCCAGGGAGCGGGCGCGCGACGCGGTACTCACAGCTGGTCGAGGGGCTGTCGGTGCCATCCAGTTCCGCCCTGGGGAAGCTGTGCCCAGCACGGGCCGTGAGCAGCGTGGACTCGATGGCCCTCTCGTGGGCAGTGAGCACGATGGGGGCCTGGCCGCCGGCCCCGGGGCCCGACAGGGACTGCTGCATGAAGGCCAGCTTGTCCTTGGTCCTCCGCTTCATGTCGTCCCATCTGTGCTTAATGTCCTTGACGGAGCGGGGGACCTGGCTGGCGGAGGTGACTTTCCGAGCTATGCCTTCCCAAATCTTGTCCCTGTCGGCATGGGACAGCCGCATGGTCTCCCTCCCAAAGAGAACCGCCTCGTGGTGGGTCACCTCCGTGACCAGAATGTCCAGCTCCTCCTTGGAGAACTTGGGCTTCCTCTTACGCTCGGCCAGGGACGCCACATTCCTTGGGTTGAATATCCCACAAAGCACAATTGGGTAAATGAGCGTCAGCGCGGGCTGGTCCTCCTCCTTCCTAATTGCTGGCCCCCAGCTGGGGCTGCCAGGAGGCACCTGGGCGCCCTCGCCGCTCACCTCCACCGTGCCCTCCTCCTACCGAGAGGCCCCCTCCACTCCCTCGGAGGGGAGCAGGAGACGTGGCATTAGGAGTGGGCGCGCCGGGCTGCGTGGAAGGCCTTCGTGTCAGCCCTGCCTGGCCCTGCACCGGCTGAGAACCAGGCGGCTCATGCACCTCCCCGGGCCCGCAGTCCCCATCCACATGGGCGCCGCGACCACGCCAGCCTCGGGGTTGTCACCAAGGAGGGAGAAGCATAGTGATGAAAGAGAACTTCAGAGCCCTCGACAGGAAGAAAAGATCCTTATGGGGCTAAGGATCTGCCTGTACAAAGTGATATTTTCATTTAGCCAAATGGCTCGAGGAAGAACGCGGAACAGGTAGCCTATTTACAGTGCTCTTCCGCCGGGGGCGCGGCTCACTGGGGACACGCATGGCTGGGGGGCCGTCACAGAAAGTTCTTTCTGTTCTGTGGCCCTCTTCTCCTTCCCGGCCCCCTGAGTTCCCACCTCTGGGTGTGCGCAGGCCCCTCTGAGGGACTGCGGCTGGGGGCAGCTCACCCTGGGGTGGCTGCAGTGACTCTGGCTGCTCATGGTGGAAGGTGCAGGGTGCCCCACACCCACCAGGAGACCGGGTGCTCCTAGACAGGGGGTGAGGGGGGCGGGCTGGGCTCCCATCTGCCAGGGAGCCCTCCCACATCTGACCTGACACCTGACCTGGCTCTGGAACTCAATTTCTCCACACTGTGGCTCTGTCCTCGCTCTAGCTACAGGTTCCCAGAGATCCACCCAAGAGCTGTATATGAAGGGGAACCTGGGGCCCAGCTCACCCTTCTGGCTGCTGCTGAAGCCGAGGCCAGAGGCCAGGAACACAAGGCCCCTTCAGTCCTCACTTCCCAGGCACCCACCCAGCATGCCACAGCTCAGGACACAGAGGAAGGCCAGGGCTCACGGACCCGCCAAAGCCGGGACAGGGCCAGCCTAGCTCTCAGCTAGCCCTAGGGCCAGAGGCCGAGCCTCCTCTGCAAACCCTCCTCCGGCCCACTAAAGGAGTGCTCATCTACTGCATCTCCCTCACCTGCCTGGGAGTTTGCAGCAATTGGCTGGACAATTCTATCAGTGGGGCAGGGGGTGTCTGGGGTCCTGAGGATATTTATCAGCATCCTTGGCTTCTGCCCAATAAAATCCAGCAGTATCCACCCACAGACTTGCAACAACTAAAAATCTCAAAGTACTGCCGAACGCCCTGGGGGTGGGAGTGGGGAGGCAGGCAAAACAGCCCTCCTGGTGGTGGACCCCCGATTTCATGAACACAGAAAATTCAGCATAGGGCTCCATAATGGCAAATGGTCACTACACATGGGTGCCCAATCTCTTCCTGGCCCAACACTTATTTTTTGTAGAATCTAAAACAACTCCATTCAATCACCCCAAGGCCCTAGGCTGTGACAACACAGGCGAAGTTACCTGCAAATTAGAAAGAATTGTACAAATGGAAGCTGCATGTTAAGGGGAAAAGAAGGTCCCCAAGATGAAGTGATTCCCCTCCAACTACCACCACAGGGGCACCTCCATGGGAACAACCACACACCCAACCCAACCTATTCTTTCAGTCTTTAATGAGCTAAGGCCCCATTGGGCTGTGACTACCCTGGTGCCATCTTGGATCAGAACAGGCTGTGAGCAGACTAGCACAGACCCCATGGCAGCAGGAGCGGCACAGAGCCCAGGCGGCACACGGCCCGGGAAGCCATGCTTTGCTAGGATCCCGGTGCATAAGTGGAAAGAACACTGGCCCAGAAGTCCAGAAATGGGTTCAGGCCTGGTTCTGCCACTGACTGCGTGGTCCTGAGTGAGTCCTGGCCCTGCGCTGGGCTTCAGTTTTACCATCACAGCAAGAAGAGCAGCACCGAGCAGTGGTTCACAACACTAAGAGCACGTCAGAATCACTCTGCAGAGCTTTCAAATACCAGTGCCCTGGGCGGAATCCCAGCCCAATGAAGTCAGAATCTCTGGGTGCCAGATGCTCCCTCAGTTAGTTCAGATGATGAATCTCTTTGGAGTTGTGGGAAAGCCTTGTGCCCAAGCTGAAAGACGAGAACAGAATAGACGCAGCTCTACGGGATAAAGCTTCTGGAAGCCTGAAAGTGACAGCGCAGGAAGGCGGGATGCTGGATGCCACTGACACACACTCCCCTCTGCTTCTCAGAGCCAGACTGAGCCAGAAGGGCACAGGCCGGGGGCTCCAGCCCCTCCGGCAGGCCTGGCAGGCAGCTGGTCCCGCTTGTGTGTCTTTGCTCATAGCACCCTCAAAGGAAACTCTGGCCCCTTTGAAGGCTCGGCCTGAAGGCCCCTCTTTCATCTGCCCTTTGCTGCACATTGTCTGTGCTTCCCTTCAGCAGCCATATGAGAAAGAGCCCTTTCCTGAGTGGAAGATGTGAGTCCTGGAATGGCCAGCTCAGACCGGGTCAGGCCAGCCCAGGCCAATCCAGCTAAGGCACCTGGGACCTGTCCTGCCTCACACGGGTGCTCAGTAATGGGTGGTGAACTGCATGGGCTGAGCCGACCTGGACCCAGTGGTTGGGGAGAAGGCAGCAAGGAGCACTGTTTACCTTCGAGCCTCTTTCGGGACAGTGGCCAACCAGACTATGTGTGTGGGCCCGCTCATCCCTGCAGCCCCTGCTTCTGCACCTGTTAAATGGCAGTGAGAAGAGCTGCCCTAATGAGTAAGGAGACGAGTCCTCCACTGCTCCGGAGAATGAGCGCAGCCACCGATCGGCAGCTCTCATGTGGGAGAGCAGATGGACAGAGGGCCCAAGAAAGGGACAGGCAACCTTGTCAGGGACTCCACACCGATTGCTCCTCATTTGCTGGGAATGTCTCTGAGTTAAATACAGGAAACTCCCTCTTTAAAGTCCCGACCTGCCATCCCTCCAAAACAGTCCCTCCACCAGTACACCCCATGGGCATGGAGCTGCATAGCTGCCCAGAGGCCCCAGTGCACAGTGCAGCCATGCCCCTGGGCCCAGGCCCCCCAAAACCCCTTTCCTTCCCAACCAGATCCAAACCCCCTACTCAGCACCACACCTGGGTCCCAGAGAGGCCGCCAAGGAGATACTGAGGCAAATCTAGGTGGGCCCTGGGCCACTGCGCGGGCAGCAGCACAGAGCTGGGAGAGCCAGGCCTGGGTGTGCCGCCCCGGCACCTCTGAAGTGTCCTTCTGGAGCAAGCCAGCTTCTGTCCCGAACACCGGAGCAGGGCACACCCTTCTCAAAAGGACTAAGCCTGGGCAGCAAGCACCCTCGAAAATTGTGCCAGAGGCCTTGTTGGGAGACTGCTTTTCAGAGAAGCCATTTAAACAACCGCTGGAGGTGATAGTAAGCTGTACGCCGGTCTAGCAGTGTCTCCCCTGAAAGGTGTCAGAGTCCTGAAGGGAGGGATACCTCCCCCACTAGGAAATGCTGCCAGGAGCTTGGGGTGTGGGTACTCCAGACACACGGACAAGTGTGCTACCTCTAGGAGTCCCTGTACCTGCCAGCCTGGCCGTAGTCCTTCTCCAGAACCCCCTGATGGAAACCTGTGGGAACTTGAGAGGCCCCTGGAACTAGACACATCCCAAACCCTACAAACGGAAATCTGGGGCCCTCCAAGGGGCTCCACCACCAGAGACCCTACAGGCCGAGCATGCCCCCTCGGCCTCCTCTCCAGAGTTCAGGCTCCCGGAAAATCAGCAGAGAGCAGGACTCACCTCATCCAGTTGGCCTTAGACTCATCTGACCCGTCTATGGACTTGTAGCGGTTGTTCTTGTCCACAATCTGGAAGACAGAGAGAGTCTAGAACGGGCTGTTCTAGAACAGGCTCCCATATCCCGGTGCTCTTCTCCAAGCCAGGCCCCGCAATCTGGATCCACCTGCTGCAGCAGAGAACTATCCATTTGCCCTCACCCCACAGTGTCCCCACTGGTAGAGGGTGGAAACCCCGGTGAACCCCATCTCCCTCCTTTGTCTTGATAGAATACCCAGCAATTTGCCCAACCAGTGGTTCTTCCAGACTCACATGGCAAGAACAAAAGGTAAGTCCAGCCCCCTTACCCCCACGTTCTCTAGTTTCTGTGGGAGACGGGGGATAGAGACCAGCACTGGGTGACCAGGCGAAGGTGATCCCAGAAGGCTCCTCCTCTCGCCCATCTCCAAACGTTTAAGAGCTTCAGGATTTGGGGTTGGGCCCTACTCTCTTTTGTAAGAATGCCCACAATTCATCATCACTCTTAGCTCAGTTGAGTACAGAATTCTAGGCAGATTAAGTGTTATTTTCTTTTAGCACTTTGAATTTTCTTTCAGCACTTTGAAGATCTCCAAAGAGGCTGCCATAGGCTCATAAGTAACCTATTGTTGGTTTCATGTTATTCTTTTGTATCTAGTCTGCCTATGGTAAATTTTTAAGACTTCCCCTTTGTTCTTGGTCGTCTGCTGTTTCATTATGCGTTTTTGAAATGGAGATTTACTTTTTTTTTAAATTCTCCTCATTACTTGATAAGCACATTACTTGATGAGGATTTGTATCTCTTTTGCAATTCTGGAAAATTCTCACCTATTATGCTTTTGAGTATTGCTTCTCAGTCATTTCCTCTAGTTTCTTTTTATAGACATTCAGCTAAACATATAATGAAAATAGCTCAATCTATTTTCCATGTCTTTTAACTACCCTTTCATATTTTTCTCTCTTTATCTTTCTGGGCATCACTCTGGTAAAGTTACTCAGAAAGACTCCAATTCATTAATTCTCTCTTTGACTGTGTTCAAAGTTTACCCATGTATTGAGGTCCTCTTTCTTTCTTTCCTTTTTTAATGAACACTTTCACTGCAATGAATATTTTCTTTCTAGAATTTTTAATTGGTTCTTTTTCATAGCCATTTTTTTACTCTGCCTCTGTTTCATGTTCCTTTTTTTCCTTTTCTAACAGTTTTATTGAAATATACTTGACATATAATGTACCATCTAGTAGCTTTTGACATATGTGTAGACTCATTGTCACAAGCAAGGTAATGGACATATCCATCACCCCCAAAAGCATCCCATGCCCCCTGTCATCTCTCCCTCCTGCCTATCTTCATGCCTCCCATCCCCAGTCCACAGACAACCAATGAGTTACATTTTGTCACAAAAAATTACTTTGCATTTTTTAGAATTTTATACAAATGCTACTCCCCGTGGTGCAGCGGGTTGAGCACAGCGCTGTGAAGCTGTCTGCAGCCTCTGCAGTGTGGGTTCTATTCCCAGCCGGCCAGGGAGATTCCCACATGGTGCAACAGACCTCTCCTGTTGTGCCCGCTGCTCCCCCCAGCAGTGCTTTTGGTCTGTCTGCCTGTTCTGCTCCCCACTCTGTCTCTGGTGAATCCTCTCACCCTCCTGCGCCTCTGGCCTGTACCCCAGCTCTTGTATAAATAAAAAATAAATCTTTTTAAAAAAATGCCATGAGACGGAAGCCATGTTTGGCTCTCTTTACTCAGCATTATTTTAAGATTCATCCCTGCCTATGTGTGTACCCAAGTTCATTTCTTTGTATTGATGAGTAGTATTCCATTACTTATATGTGCCACAATTTGTTTGTTCTATCTGCTTATTGATGGACCTTTGAGTAATAGCTGCTATTTAAGTAAAACTAGTAAGAAAAGTCACATACCCATCTTTGTATAGATACATGCAAATTTCTCTTTAACTTCTCTCGGGCAATACCTAGTGAGGAATGGCTGGGTCACATGGTAAATATATGTGTAACATTTAAGAAATTGTTAAACTGTTTTCCAAAGTACTTGCACCATTTTACAGTTCCATCAACCATGTACTAGAGTTCCAGTTAGTTTTGTTTTGTTTTGGTTTAAGCCATTTAAATGAGTTTGAAGCAATACCTTCTCACTGTATTTAATTTGCATTACTCTGGAGATTAGTGATACTAAGCATCTTTTTTTTGTGCACTTATTTATCACTTATTTTCAGCCATGCATCTTCTTTGGTGAAGTATCTACTAAAGTCTTTTGTCCATTTTTAAAAATATTTTTTCTTATTTATAGTTTTGAGTATTTTAAAATATATTTTGGACATAAGTCCTTTATTAGACATATGATTCACCAAAAAATCCTAGTCTGTGGTTGTTTATTCTCTTTATGGGTTGAGGTTTTAAATTGAAACCAACACGTTTCTTTTTTTTTTTTTTTTTTAATTTTCTAGAGGCATGTCTTATTTATCTATTTGTTTGTTTGTTTGGTTTATACATGCACTGGGTACAGTCAGAAGCCGGGAGGGTGAGAGAATTCACCAGAGCCAGAGCGGGGAGCAGAGCAGGCAGAAGGACCGAAGTACACTGCTGAGGGGAGCAGCGGGCGGCAGGAGAGGTCTGCGCGCCATGTGGGACCCTCCTTCGGTGGCCGGGGAGCAGCCGGGGATCGAACCGGCGCCGCAGAGGCCGCGGGCAGCTTCGCAACCCAGCGCTCAACCGCTGCGCCACCTGGGAGGCCCTACCAACACGTTTCTTAATTTGATGTTATTCTTTATTTCTTTGAGGACCCTAAGGCTGTTACTATCTTTCACCTGTATGTATCTGCTTACCTGCTACCTATTAAGAACAGAATATATTTATTGGCTTCTCCTCAAGCTAAGTTCTGGCCAATAGGTGGAAGTATTGTACATCAGCTTCCTGAAAACTTCTTCAAAAGACAGCTGACACATGCCCTTCCACCATCCTGCTGTCTGGAATGCAGATGTGATGGTTGGAGCACTAGCTATCAATTTGGACTATGAGGATAATCCAAGCATTGAAATAAACTGAGCTGGACTGAGTTTGGCTCGCTGAAGATTTAGTGGAACAGTCACCTCACATGGCATAGAATGTATTCATAAAGGAAAACTCCTGTTTTGCTTGAGCCACTGTGAATCTCAGTGACTTAATCAAACCCACTCATGATCCAGACCCTTCTCAGACCTTTAAGCTCTTTTTCAGATACTCAACTATTTTTATTCCAATTAGAATGAATTCACTTGTTATTTGGAGCTGGCTATTTTGTTTTAATATTCATTTTCTTCACTAGTTTTAGAGACTTGGTCTGGAGGGTCATCTTTAGTAGAAGTCTACCTGCCTACTGTTTCTTTCTCTTTTTTTCTCATTTTAAGCAGTCAACCCAGCTCCACTCAGTTCCCACCACACATGGGACACTTCTGTTTCACATTGCCCTGTGGGAGCTGTAACCATGCTCACCTCCCCTGCTCTCTTTTCCTCCCCTCCCTCCCAGCTTCTTGTCTCTCACTCTAATATGTTTGAGGGGAAAAGGATGGGGGCAGGGGCTCATCATGAACTCTCAATCCATCTGGATTGGAAATCTCCCCTTAGCCCCCTTCATCTATACACTTTCTCTGGATATTCAGATCCATTCCCATGCTCTCAATTACTTCCTTGCATACAAATTTTTATCAGAGCCCTAGATGTAGATACCTTATTTCCCACATGACCTCCTTGCACGTCTTATGGCAGGGGACCTCAAACTTGGATATCTTATAGGAGGGACTCAAATTTACGAGGTCCTACTCCCAAGTCTGTTCCTCTCTCATCTTCTCATCAGTGTTTGAAACCACTATCCATTCAGGTTTCAAAAAGAAAGTCCTCGACCCCAAACAATTGAATACTATAGTTTAAATGTATGGTATGTGAATTGTATTTAAAAATAGCTGCTGAAAAAATAAACAAAATCGGGCCTTCCCTTGTGGCGCAGCCTCTGCAGTACCGGTTCGATCCCCAGCCACTGGTGAGGGTCCCAGATGGTGCGCAGACCTCTCCTGCCACCCGCGGCTCCCCTCAGCAGTGTATTTCATCAGTTTGCCTGTTCTGTTCCCCGCTCTGGCTCTGGTGAATTCTCTCACCCTCCCGCGCTTCTGACTGTACCCAGTGCTTATATAAATAAATAAATACATCTTTTAAAAAAAATAAACAAAATCATCCCTCATTTCTCCCTCTCTTAACCCCCATATCTTATTCCTCAGCAAGTCCTCCAGATCAGATCTGCTCCTGTCTCTCTCCACTGCTTCCATCATCAGCTCTCTTCTAGACAACTACCAGGATCCTAACTAGCCTCTCTGGTGCCATTCTTAACTCCCTCTTGATTCTCCTCAAGCCACCAAGTAATCTTTTCTCGATGGAAAGCAGGCCACGTGACTCGCCAGCTTAGGATGACTGCACTTACAATTGAATTAAATTTGGGCTTATGGTCACTGCCATCAAGTTTGTATGACCTGAGCTCTGCCTGCCTTCCCGACTTCTCTTGCGCCTGTCTCCACGCCTGCAGTTTTCTGCAACTATGATAATCTGACGATGAACCTTTACACTGGTTGGGTTGGCTGCCACAACCACTTTTCCCTCCTTCCCTCTTAAAAATAATGGTCATGACATATTCCAAGCATTCAGCAATTATGATGGGTGATGCAGCTGACGACTCTGCACCTCTCAGCCACAGCCAACGAAACCACCCCTGCCGGTCATGCCCCAGTGCTCTCTCCTGTTGCTTCAAGAAAACAACGAGATTCAAGATCATCTCGGCCTCCAACTCAACTCACTCTCCTCCTTCCTGCCCACCAAGGTGACCACTGTCCCAAGGCCTTCCCATGTTTACCCTACACGGATTTTCCCAAAATCTACGTACAAAGCAGTTTTTGCATGTTTGTAAAACTGACAGCAATGGTGCCCGAGCAAACATATCTTCCGCGATTTTTCCCCACCAAGTTGTGCATGGCTTATCCCTTCTTGTCTTTGGGGTCTTGCTTCTGTGCC